TACAATCTCTGTTTTTCTTTCTGTTGTAACTGTCACCTGTCATCACTTTGGAGGGTGCTCAGAAGTAGTTGAAGAAAACAGTTAAAGTTCAGCTCAGTGCTTCCTGATAATCAGACATTAAAGACTCACTGAAGATAGGCCCAGAGCTGTCTCCCAAGATGTGAACCATCACCTAAATTCCCAAGTGACCTGACCATGTTTGACATATCTTGAAGAATTGCAGGGATTTATGATGAAAATGAAGTCACTATTCTAGAAGAAATGGTGTCTCTCTCTGTACACTAGGCTGGCCTCAAACTCAGAATTCCTCTGTCCCAGCCCCCTGACTACTAGGATTACAGGAAGGTGCCTCCAAGACCAGCTTCTGAAGTTCACAGTTTTTGATCCTGTAAATTTTTGCAGTTCCATTTGAATTCACACTATAGGCTGTGTTCAGATACTAAGCAGCCTGTCCTATGTGAGTAATTTTAGGTGGAGCTGTCTGAGCCAAACCCTGTGACCCTGAAATGATGCAACCTTGGATTCCAGAACTCTGTGAGAGAATAGGTGACCAAGCTGACTTATCAAGGGGCCAGTGGGAAGATCCTTATTGAATCTGTGTGTGCCCCAGTCAGTTTCCCAGTGAGCCCAACAACTTCCTCCAGAGGGTTTTGAGGGTGTTATTTCTAGCTCCTCTCCTCCTGAATTTAGCAGCAGCCTGGGAGGAGAGTAGTTTTTCAGGGACCATAGTCAGTGCCCGTCAAGATCTCGGGAAGTGGGCTGGAGAGATAGATTAGTGGTTAAAAGCATTGGCTGCTCTTCCAGATTCAGTTCCCGGCACCCACGTGGCAGCTGACACTCATCTTTAACTACAGTTCCAGAGAATCAAATGCTGTCTTCTGGCCTCCACAGGCACCATGCACCAGGCCCATGGTGCACTTACATCCATACCTGCAGGCAAAATACTCATACATACACATACAATAAAGTTTCTTTTTTTAAAGATCCTGGTAAGTTCAACAACATGCTTGCCCCTGTGTTAGTTACTTTTTTCATCACTTATAGAATAACTGGCAGAAGAAACTTAAAGGAGAAGGTGTTTATTTCATAGTTTAGACAAGGTATGGTGATTTAAATGTTGGGACCACCTGCTGTCCATGACAGAGTATGACGTGGTCACATTGCTGCAGCAGACAAGAAGCAGAAGTTTGGCTCCAAGCAGGGCCAGGATGAAATCATCTAAGTCTGGCTCCCAATAGCCCACATCCAGCAGGTAGTCCATGTGTCCCAATGATGGGCTACATCCCACAGCTTTCCAAAACAGCACCACCATCTGGGGACCAAGTGTTCAAATGTGAGTCTGTGGGGGTGGGGGGGCATTTTACCCTTAAACCATAGTACCCTCAACTTGTTCCCACACCCACAAAGACAGTTTATGAGGGATTTTTGTTGGCATCCAGAGACAACCCCTGGCCTGCATCTGTCCATAAACTATTCTGTCTGGGGAAACCCAACAGCCAAATTTGCCATCCAGGGGCCTGCACCACACCTTGTCTGACAAGATCAGAATCTCAGCCTCATGGAGGGCCACCCCCACGGATACGTGATTTTCCCCTGAATATTTCTCTCTGCCTTTAAAGTTTTCTTCTGTTCCCTCTTATTGGTTAATTCCCCTTTGTAAGTAAGTTTATGTTAAGCCTTACTCTGGTTTCTCTGTCCTGGCTAGACCTTAATTGAGCCATGCATTCATTTGTTCACTCAGTCTCTCTGTGGTCTGAATGTTGGTGCTTCACACAAATAGCATGTATAAATTTTATTTTTAGTTAACTTCTAGACAGTTTTTGTTGTTTCATAGGATATTTATACCTTACATCATTATCTTAAATCAGATTATTCATACTGAAAAAATATGTTAACTTTCAACATTGTGGTTTGCATTGTTGGTTTGATTTTTTTTTTTTTTTTTTTTTTTTTAGTAATGTGTAAAAAAAATATCTATTTTTAATATTTTGTTTTTGTTTTTGTGTTTCTTTTTTTTTTTTTTTTTTTTTTTTTTAGTATTTTATATAATGTGCCCAATATTAGAGAACTCTGATTTAGGGGGAAAAAAAAGGTTCATTTCAATGATCTGCCACTGATTTAAAAAATATCCAAGCCAAGTGTGGTGTCACATGCCTTTAATTCCAGCACTCGGGAGGGAGAGACAAAAGCAGGTATATCTCTGTGAGATCTAGGTCAGCCTGGTCTCCATAGCAAATTCCAGGCCAGCTGGGACTAAAGGGAGACCCTTTGTCAAACAAAAACAAACAAATTAGAATTCGCTTCAAGATTTATATGGAACTGTCAGTCTTACATTCCTCACTTACTGCACAGCACACCATCTCATGGTGTGTTGTAGCTTTTAGCCTTTTCCCCATTGTTGGACATTTGAGGGTGTTACTAAGTTTTTACCATATTATAAATTTTTGTCTTTAAGAAAGGGCTCTTTCCTTTAAGCAAGTGTGTGTGTGTGTGTGTGTGTGTGTGTGTGTGTGTGTGTGTGTGTGTGTTAAAGATCAGAGGAAAACATATGGGAGTGGATTCTCTGCTTCCACCATGTGGATCTCAGGATGTTAGGTTTGATGACAAGTGCCTTTACCCTATGGGCCATGTTGGTGACTCAGCTTCCTCTTCTATATAGTGAGAATAATAATTATTGTCCATATTTTATGTGATTGTTGTAAGGATTTGTTAATATACATACAGAACACCAAGCACACAGCAAATGCTTATTTAATATCCATTGCTTCTATGGCCATTGTGTTTTCTTCCTGAGTTAATTTAGGTTTGTTTTCAATTCAGCATACATTATTATGATAGTAAGTTACCATATGTATACCAGTTTCCATTCTAATAATGTTACCAGATGTATTGCATTATCACAATGAAATATCTGCCACAAGCTACTTTTGAAGTATAGAGAGATTTTATTTAGGGTCAGGATTTTGGAGGTTCAAATTCAAAGATCAAGCAGCTCATTGGTTTGTGCCTGGGGTAAGAGCAACACACCATGGTGGGAGCACATGTCAGAGCATGTGCTTACAGGGAGCAGGAGGAGAGGAAAATATTTAGGGCCTTTAATTCCACCAGCATGCGTGAGGATCCCCAAAAGCCTCACCTCTTAAAGGTCTGCAGCATCTCCCAGGACTGCCACCCTAGGGGGTACATGTGGACCTTTGAGGAGCACCCATCTAGGCCATAGCACTGGGTCTTCTGCTTTGTTTTCCTCATTGCTCCACTGCATCTCCCCTGAATGTCTTTAGGTGCTGGCTAGTCAGCTGGGGCAGACTGCTTTGAGTCGTGTCCTCTCTGAACAGTGAGTTCTGCAGCTCAGAGGCCCTGTCTTAAATCAGGGATCCACATCTTCTGCAGTCCTCATATAAAGCAGGCAGATACTCCACCAAAGAATGTGCATTTATTAAAATCTAGTTTGTGTTCAAATCAAGGCTGATTAGCTCCATTATTTTACTAGACAATACATGTATTTTGAAGCATTCTTCACATTTCTGTTAAGACAGTTTTTTCTTATGTTCTCAGTCTAGGAACTATGCTTGTTTCTTAAGCGCAAGGAATGCTAGAACTGTACAATAGATTATTGGAGGCATGCTTGTATTTGAGATTATGAACCATTTTGTGTGTTCATTTGTTATTTATTAGCATCAGGAAATTTTTTCTATCTTTGTGTTTTACTTCTATGTATATCAACTCACTTTTATTTACTATAATGAAATACCCGAGGCAGGCTAACTTTGTATTAAAAAACAAAACAAAACAGGTTTATTTAGTCCATAGTGTGGGGTGCTGAAAGTCTAAACATCACGACACAAACTCTGGCAGTGCTCTCTTTGGCTCCCTTACCTCATGCAGATGGCAAGGCAGGACCACACGTGGGAAGACAGATCACATAATAAAACTAGAAGCCAGGGGCTGGAGAGATGGCTCAGCAGTGAAGAGCATTGGCTGCTCTTACAGAAGACCTGAGTTCAGTTCCCAGCACCCACATGGTAGCTAACAACTGTCTATAACTCTGGTTCCAGGGGGTTTGATACCCATTTCTGACCTCAGCGGGCCATTGCACACACATAGTGCATCAGCCAGATACTGTTGACTGAGTACTCTGAGCAGAGACTCCTGTGGGGCTGGGCCTTAGGATAGAGGGAGGGCAGGGTACCCAGGTGAGAGAGGGAAGAAAGGATGCCCAGTTAGGGAGGACAGGGTGCCAAGAAGGAGAAAGGCGGGGTGCAGGGATGAGTTAAACTAAGAGAAGGAAGCTAAGAAATGGAAATCGCTGCTGCTTTTAAGGAGCTAAAGATCTCATTGCAGAGAGACATTATCCAGGGTGTGCGGAGGGTCTGATTTCTTTTAGGTATTGTGGTAATCCATTAAGTTGATCACCTGTTTTTACTAGGCCCTGTTAGTCTTGACATAATGCCACATGCTTTAGGCTCAGCACTCAGACCAGGAAATCCTCTTGCCTGGGGAGGCTGGGCTACTGTCTAGCTCTTTACTGGGTTAACACCTTGAGCCTGCCACATGTCCAGATTATTTGCACAGGGCTTTGTTGAGAGCCTGCTAACTCGGCTCGAACCCAATGTTCCCAAATCCTAATTATGAGCTCCTCATTGGCAGCCCTGCCTCACTGGCCTCTAGGGAGCCTGGCATATAAAGATTTCAGGAATCAGCCTGGAAAGGGAGATGAGTAGGCTCATGGCCGATGATGCTTCCTTTGTCTGGAGGGCAGACATTCCCTCTGTCATAACATGGGAGCCCTGTTCATGGTGATCTCTGAGCATCTTGGCAGCCAGAGCTGGAGCCTTGCAGCTCCTCCATTCCTGGCTGCACCATGTTCTCTGTCACCTTTCCTTTCCTTACTGATTGCCTTCTCCCTCCCTGTCCCAACCCCAAGTGCTGTATTTCTCCATGTAAACCAGTCCCATTTTAGGGCCTGTTTCCTAATGTATTTCCCACTCTCTTCTTTGCAGGGGAGCTGCTGAGCCAGCCCAGGCCAGAAGGAGTGGCAGAAATCATCTGTCCCAAGAATGGCAGTGAGCGTGTGAATGTGGCCTTGGTTTACCCACCTACACCTACTGTGATCAGCCCCTGTTCCAAGTAAGTTCACAAAGTTCCACTGGCCCCTGCTCCTTGCTGGTGATTCTGGCTCTGTAGGTCTGATAACTCAAAACCAACTTCACCTGCATGTGTGCACACCTTGCAGAGTTCCCCAAGGGCAGACATGTCACATGCATCAAAATAGAAACTGTTGTTTCCCCTTTGAGTGTGTGCCTGGTAGTTTACTTTGCTGATAAAGAAAAAAAAAAAAACAAATTAATTGTTTTACAAACCACACAGTTCATTTAAAATGTACAGTTCATTGGTTTTTAGTATATTTGCAGGTATGTGCAACCCAAAAAGAGTACTCCCCCCATATCATTTATGCAGTTTTATTGAAAGGCTCTAGGGTCTGTCTGAACCCTATATTTGTCCCAAGTGAGTTTTTAACTGTTATTGTAGAATTAAGTGGGCCTCACTTCAAAGAACAGTGAGGGACCATTAAATAAGAAAAGTCTGCAGAAAATCTATAATGATTCAGTTTTGCAGTGGGGCTCTGATTCTCTAGTCAGTCTCAGAAAAGCAATGACTGTCCCAAAGTGGACTTCCAGGGAATGCATACAGACAAACCCATGTTCACACAGAATGCGTGCTTAGTATTTTAGATAAGGTACACCCCGTTTGTTTGAGGTTTTTATTTATATATTTTTATAGCACTAGAAACCAAAAGTTCTGCTTTTAAACTGAGATGAGGGACTGGAGAGATGGCTCAGTGGTTAAGAGCACTTGACTACTCCTGCAGAGGATGTGGATTCAGTTCCCAGCACCTACATGGAGGCTAGAAACCATCTATAACTCCAGTTCCAGGAGATCCAGTGCCCTTTTTCAGCCTCTGTGAGCATTGCACTCATGAATGCACTTATACACATCCAGGCAAAACACTCATACACATAAAATAAAAATTTTTAAATGAGATGAAATGCCCATGTACTTGGTAAGGCAGCAGCCTTTGACAAATCTTGTATTGTCTCATTGTCTTAGTTATAGCTCCAACATGATATATTCAGCCAAGTGTTCATAACCATGCAATAGACTTTAATTTTTTTTACCCTGATTGGTTATATAGAAGTCCCTCTCCCACGGATAAGCTTTTTTAAAAAAGAGTCTAGAAAGTTGAATTTGAGAAATACGACTTCTATATCATCCAATAAATGTAGGGAGGAAGACAAGACCAGGCTCTCTTTACTAGGCACTTGCTGTCTAGCCACACATTAGGAGTGTGCAAAGCCTCGTTTTCTCCAAACTGGGTAGCTCATTAGGCAAAAGATCTTTAATCCACCTGCTAGAAACTAGCCCTGAGCACCCAAGCTAAGCACATCTCTAATGCTGTATTCAGAATGTTCTTATCTAGCATGTACCCAGCATAATCTGAGGATGCTTTTCAGATATTAAAGCAGGATCATACAGGAAATGTTGTTAACTAGCCTGTTCCCTGTCCTAAATATACCAAACTCAGAAATTTTCTTTTTCTATTTTTTTTTCTGTTTTAGGATGTAGTTGTATATTAATTTTTTAATTAAATTTTTGTGTATTTTATACAGAACATCTCAATCACTCTTAATCATCCTTATACTCCCTTCCACTGGCACCTTCCTATAGCTCACCTCCCCCACTGGAATTTATACATTCTGTCATTTGTCTTAAGGCCTATTGTGTCAAGTTAGTGTCCCCAGACATCCCTCAGTGCAAGTTCATTTACTGAGGTTTAGTCAACCTATCTAGAGTCTCTCGCCTTAGGATGATCAGCTCTTCCTCACCCAGCATTAATCGGTTGCCAATATTTCTTCAGCTAAGATTGAGGTCAGCTGTTCATTTCCCCAGTTCTATGCTGGGTTTTTGTCTGTTTCAGTTTTGCCTGGGTCCTGTGCATGCTGACATCATTGCTGTAGGTTCATATGAGCAGGGTCCAAGGAGCTTGTAGGACTCTTAAAATCTTTCCACCCCTCTTCTGAAATGGTCCCTAAGCCCTAGGTGGGTGTAGTACAATATAGGAGTCCTTTCCAAGGACCAGCATTCTGCTGACTCTTAGTCTCTACTCTTTGGCCATTTGTGACCTTTTGTGTTCCTGGCCCTTTGTTGCATGTGGGAGCCTCATTAACGAGAATTAAGATATTTATTATTGTCTTCTTTACCCCTTGTTTTGTGTCCTCTGAGCCTTAGGTATAGAGCAAAACCTAGAAATTTTCTAACTTTGGAATTTGAGTTTGTGCATATTGCTCCCTGCCTTTCAGATATACCCAAACTAAGGATAAACGAGTGTTGTAGAACCATACTTTGTATTGATATACATTTCCCTGAGTCACCACACACTAATCTATTGTTTCCCATGAATCCATGCTATTCAAAAGGCAACACAGATATAGGAGTTAGGTATCCATCTATGGCAGAAGCCCCAGTGGCATGGACCCAGAGTTGTCAGGGTGTTCCCATGACTGTTTCTTGTTCTGCCACAGAAAGACCCAATTTACCAGCCTGAAAAAAGTATTTTCAGTCTCTCCCTGACAGTTTATTGACTCTAAATGAACAACCACCTTTAAATGTGGGGGTCATTGGAGGCCCCTTGGTTCAGGCCTTGCTAATTGGTAGAGGGGGCATCTCTGGGGACTGAACCATTATTGACCTAGCAATCTGAATATTTTATTTCAAAACAGTTCTCTTAAAATGGATAGCAACTTTGCAGGCTAATTCTCAACTCTAGATGAAGGACTGTTCTCTAATTAGTAAAGTTTCACATCTTTAGCAAGACTTATTTTTTTAGTGTAGAGGCAAGGAGAAATGATCCCTTCTATGACTGTCTGAATAAAAGCTATGCCTGTGTGATCCAGTCGGTGGTCCACAGCCCTGAAGCATCCACAGCTCATAGCCCTGAACACTGAACAAAAGCAAACAAGCAGGCTGACCAGGCCCAGTGGACAATCTAAAGCATGATGACTGACAGTGTATTTAAAGTTGAGGGGTAGCAGTCAAAGGAGGTAATCATTAAGTCACATGGGTCTAACCAGAGGCTGAGGCTTAGCATCCTGGTAGGCACCAACAGTCTGGAGATTGAGCTGCCATGTCAACTTAAGCAACTCACTACAGAGTGGTCGTCTCTCTCTATAGCCATAAAATGCAGGCAGGTGGACAGGACTGGATTTTCCTCACTGGGCATGTTCATTAGAATGTCATGGGAAACAGACAGGTATGAGTCTTTCAAAAGACTCAGAAGTCACCAAGTTGGTTCTAATATGTGTGGACTGGATTTCCATCTCCAAGATCTCCCTGTCTCTAAGGGTGGCCTCCTTTTCCTGTTGGACATTTCTCAGGTCCAACTGCAAAGCGGAGCCTGGTACGTGCTACAGTGTTGTCAGCCTGTATGGGTCCCCTCCACCCCTAACTGCCCACTCCTGGCTAAAATAAACATTTCATTCATTTTCCAAGTCAAGAGTGATAGGAAGACTGTCCTCATTATGCCGGGCAACAGGTGTCAACTAAATGGGGTCAGGACGGCCAGTGAGCACAGACAGAAAAGACCTTCCTGGGAGTCAGATTCAGTGATACAGCTCCATTTATTCAGTGGGGGTCAGGGAAAAATATAGTGTGGAGGGAGCAGCCAAAGCTTCAGCTGATAGGTGTTCATAGTATGCTTTATTTACATGTGGTAGGGGGATCCTATCATCTGGCTATAGGGAAATGCCTAATTATCTTATAGAAAAAAACCTGGGGGCAGTTTTATTGCCAGTAACTATGCCAAAGGTCATGTTCAAGATAAGGCCAGGCATCCATGCTTGTAGGCACTTTCCAGATAAGTCAAGCAGGAAGCCCCTGCTGAGAAAGGAGTTGACCTGAACAGCAGGGTTCCCCAACATCTCCCCCTGTTTTGTTTTATAAATTAAGTCTCATCACAAGCTTTAAGAGCCAACTCATCTATCTCGGGAGAATCCAAAGTCTGATAATTGACCATGACCTGATTGGTAGTAATTTTAGCAATGGTGACAATTTGTAAGAAATTGTATGAAACAGGGAGCAAGCATCAAAATAACACAGCATAATCATGGGGCTATTGATATTGTAACATTCCCCCTTCTGAAGAGGTAACCCCAAAATCCTTTTTGGATAAGAGCTCCCAAACAGTTTTAATGTTTTGGGCCCTTTGGACAGAGGACTTTGTCAAAGGGCCCAAGGACATGTTGACTTTTAGCCAAGAAAGAAACTGGCTACTTTTCCCTAGCTGCCTAGCCAATTTCTATCTCCTATTCTTATCATACCACCCTCTACAGAGGCTTATCCAAATTGCCAATAGGAAATTGGAACGCAGACCATTCTGGCTTCTTCCATGCTGAACAGGGACACAGGGTGAGGCAATTGGGGTACCCCCTTTCAGTGGGTCTATCTAAAAGACTCCCAAATTGCATGACTCTTAACTATAGGGAGAAAAGGAAGGTGCTTGACTGGTGCCTGGGAGATGTGAAGGAAAAGTAAAAGTAAGAGTAAAGGCAAGAGTAGTTAGTATTACAATTTCTAGGCAGGGAACCAGAAAATGTCCAAATTAAAGTCCATTGGAATTTGTTGATGAGGGCTCCCGAAAGCATCCATCTAATGGGTTTCTCCTCATTTTTCTTTTTTTTGTTAAGGCTGGACTGATGATTGATGAACTCAGGATTTGTTGTCAGGCACTTTGATAACTGTTGGAGTGGATAGAATCAGCTCCTTCTTAAATGGCCTCTAGATAGGGAGAGAAAACAAATTTAGCCATCATTTTAAAACAATAGTGAGTTGTCTCCCCTAGCTACAGGTGGGCCCTACAATGTTGCAGACCAAGATTTGAAGTCTTACATCTGTGCAGCACTCTCCTATTAGGAACATAATCACCAATGAGAAATAATTGTCTAAATAACATCTTATAAGAACTTAAGTCTAATGTCTGGGGTGTGTAATCCCTTGAATTCTTAAAAGAAATACACTGATGACTTTAATCTTTGGTTATAGTTTCCTTTTGGGTGTTTAGGCCGTACAGTTGG